CCATTGAAAAAGTATAGCTAAAAAAAAGCAACTAACCCTCGCACCTTTCTGTATATGAATTTACAGAGGGTGTATGTGTATAATATGAAATATTTGGAAAAATCGGAGAATTTTCTACAAGAGGGTTGACTTGACGAATATACACGCACCTTTGTTCGACCATAGATCAAATAAATATATAGTATATATATATATATATATATATATATATATATATATATATATATATATATATATATATATATATATATATATATATATATATATATATATATATATATATATATATATATATATATATATATATATATATATATATATATATATATATATATATATATATTGTAGAAAAAAGGGAGTGTCCGCATTATGTTTTGGAGACATTATATGGCACAACGATGTGTACACACTCTAGGGACGGTTGTATATATTCGCGCGACACAAAATGTGCGGTGTTTGGTCTCCATTAATATCGGATCGAAACTGGATGGTTACTGCCTGGCCAACCTCTTGTATCTCTTTTTATGGAGCCATATGTCTTCCGTATACACATAACGTCCCCGTACTGCCGGGTATGAGCAGAGGCTCATTTGTCAGCTCACAATCTGCCACTGATGCTGCAATTTGATGGCAGCAGTCAAAACACATCAAATCCTGTATAATACTCTTCTTTCTCTCTCTCTTTATACAATATATATTTGTCTTTCTCTCTTTACACTACAAACAAAATGCGCATTGTTTCTTCGTCAAAAATTCTGCCTATGTTCTTTCTTCACTTCAATAATGCTGCCCATGTTCTTTCTTCACTTTCCCCTTATACACTATACTGTCAAAAATAAGTCTTCTTTTAAGCCTAATTTTAACTAAAACAACTTAGTCCAAACATTCACCAAATTTCTAAAAAAAAAAAACTGATTTTAAGACCTAAAAGTGTCTGATTTTTATTTCAAGCCCAAAAATGAGTTGAATTGAATAAAAAAACACGTGTGAACTGTTTCTATATATTCTTACTGAGATGAATCACCTTTTTGAATTTTAAAAAATAGGTCTCTGATTATTATAAGGAATAAAATTCCAATAAGTTTAGATAGTGTTATTGGCGCTTATACGATATTCAAGAGCGTGGGACGAAAAAGAAACGATGAGTTATGTTGAATACAGAAAGAGAAGAGAAATAGAAACGGAAAAAAAATATGGCATCAGCAAGAAGGTATATATTTTAAATGTAATCTCTATTTATCATATAGAGGTTTGGAAGTTTTACCCGTTAAGTTATTATCTCATAAGCAATGAACCCAGTGGAAAAAATTGAAAGACCCCTTTGGGGGCATTTAAATGGTTTTATGTCACCCACTGTGTGTTGACAGAGGGTTAGAATAGAATGTATACAATTATACACATCTGTCATTTCTCTATACTGACTTTCTTATAAGAAATTATTACACCTATTAACTCTTAACTAACTACCAATGAGCAAATGAGTAATTTTTAACTAAATTTTTCAAACTTCAAACCTATCCTCAATCCGTCCTGCTCAATTTTCATCTTTTTTCAAAAAACTATCCAAAACTGTTAATTTTATCATTTTTGTCAAACTTCAAAACCAAAAAACTACACGAATACCACGTTAAATTTTAAAATAATATATTAATGAATTGTTTACTTGGTACAGGTTACGTACTCGCGATAATTAATTTAAAAAAGTAGCAAAAATTAGCTGACAGACAGAAAAAAAAGTTGTAAATAAGTAGCTATCGAAAAATTAAACTTGACGACTCAATTTTTTTTATAATTTCTTAATTACATTCAAACATAAAATAATTTTTTCAAATCAATATTCAAATACCTATTTATTTTGTCTACATCAGGAATTAAAATATTTCAAATGATTTCAATGTAACGCATTTTTGAAATTTAACTATTTCTAAAAATTATAAAAGTAATTCTTTCAAAATTTAATCATTTTTCAATTCATTTTCATTCAAATTTATAAATATAAAATTATTCAAAATTTTAATAATTTTATTTTATTCAAATCTAAATCAATTCTCATTAGATAATTCTACGAGAATAAAATTATTTAGATAATAAATAATTGAATATTTCTTAAATTTAAAACTTTATCGACATTCTTTAAAATAATTGAATTTTTACCAAGAATTACATTAAAATTTTTGATAATAATTAAATTCATTCAAGAATTGTAATTAAAAATGAATTGAAAACAATTATTACACTATAAGCAACAAATTATATCAAATTTCTTTAAATAATTGAATTTTTTCGAAGAATTTTAATCAAATTTTTAAGAATAATTGCGTTTTAACGTAATTAATTGAAAATAATTTTAAAAATAATTGAAATCCTGCGATGACTTTTAATATTTATAAAAATAATTGAATTTTTGGCACCGAACTTTGACATAGTTTTTAAAATAAATGCATTCTTGAGAAGAATTTAAAAGAAAATCTTTTTATAAAAAAATGATTTTTTTACAAAAAATTTTATGAAAATTGTTTTTTAAATAATTGAATTTCTTTGAAAATTGTATTATTTATGAAAATAATTGAATTTTGCAATGAATTTTGTAAAAAATTCTGAGTATAATTGAATTTCGTCGAAGAATTTTGCGATTTATAAAAATAATTGAAATGATGACGAATTTTTTTTAATTTTTGAAAATAATTTAATTTCTGAAAAAAATTTTATTAATTTTAAAAATAATTGAATTTCTTACAAAAATTTTATTAATTTTGAAAATAATTGTATTTCTTCCAAAAATTTTATAAATTTTGAAAATAATTGAATTTCTTCCAAGAATTTTATTAATTTTGAAAATAATTGAATTCTGATCATGAATCAAATTGTTATTTATGAAAATAATTGAATTTTATAAAAATTCCTGAATATAATTGAATTTCGTCGAAGAATTTTGCGATTTATAAAAATAATTGAAATGATGACGAATTTTTTTTTAATTTTTGAAAATAATTTAATTTCTGAAAAGAATTTTATTAATTTTAAAAATAATTGAATTTCTTACAAGAATTTTATTAATTTTGAAAATAATTGTATTTCTTCCAAAAATTTTATAAATTTTGAAAATAATTGAATTTCTTCCAAGAATTTTATTAATTTTGAAAATAATTGAAATCTTATCATGAATCAAATTGTTATTTATGAAAATAATTGAATTTTGCAATAAATTTTATAAAAATTCCTGAATATAATTGAATTTCGTCGAAGAATTTTGCGATTTATAAAAATAATTGAAATGATGACAAATTTTTTTTTAATTTTTGAAAATCATTTAATTTCTGAAAAGAATTTTATTAATTTTGAAAATAATTGAATTCTTATCATGAATCAAATTGTTATTTATGAAAATAATTGAATTTTGCAATGAATTTTATAAAAATTCCTGAATATAATTGAATTTCGTCGAAGAATTTTGCGATTTATAAAAATAATTGAAATGATGACGAATTTTTTTTTAATTTTTGAAAATAATTTAATTTCTGAAAAGAATTTTATTAATTTTAAAAATAATTGAATTTCTTACAAGAATTTTATTAATTTTGAAAATAATTGTATTTCTTCCAAAAATTTTATAAATTTTGAAAATAATTGAATTTCTTCCAAGAATTTTATTAATTTTGAAAATAATTGAATTCTGATCATGAATCAAATTGTTATTTATGAAAATAATTGAATTTTGCAATGAATTTTTATAAAAAATTCCTGAATATAATTGAATTTTGTCGAAGAATTTTGCGATTTATAAAGATAATTGAAATGTTGACGAATTTTTTTTTAATTTTTAAAAATCATTGAATTTCTGTAAAGAACTTTATTACTTTTGAAAATAATTGAAATCCTGCGATGAGTATTAATATTTATAGAAATAATTGAATTCTTCCATTATTATTTATTAATTCTAATAAATAATAAATCAATTCTAAAAGTGCGTTTTATTGCAATTAAAATTTAAATAATTTTCTTTTTCAATACAGTAGTATAGAATTTCAATCTGTTGCCAAAAGTGAAGGAGACAGAAAAAAAGGTGGAGTGACGGGGTGTGTGTGGGGGGGGGGGCAATTGGATGACTCTCTTTTCGTGCACAAACACAGAGTGTGCGAGATTGAATTTACACGAGTATAGCGTTAGCGTTGGTAACGCGTGGCGGTATGAGGGGTGAGTTTTGGAAAGGTGGACAAGGATGATTCTTGGAAATCCGAGATCAAAGACGACGGCATTTGCTGATTCTCTGGTTATCCGTGATATATTAAGCGAAAATTGACATTGACGGACTGAAGCAATTCTGTTTCTATTCACTCCCGTGTGCGCTTTATTATATTGTGTATAATAAATCACACTCTTATTGAGTGATATTGTTCCATTAAATTAAAATTAATCTCATTACTATAACGTTATTGGTATCTATATACATAATGCCCACTATTTTTATTGTTCAAAATTTGCTAAATGTTCTGAGGTGAAACATAACCTCAAAATTATGTCTTTAATAGACCTAATTTTGAGGTTATGTTTGACCTCAGAACAATTCGAACAATTAGAAAATTTTTGTCAAACATAACCTCAAAATTAGGTCTATAGATTTAATTTTGAGGTTATGTTCGCCCTCTGACCTATGAACTTTGACATACAGTTTATATTGACCTAATTTTGAAGCTACCATAACCTCAAAATTAGGTCTATGTTTAGTTAAACTGAGTGTCAATGTTCATATAGGTTAAAAGGCGAACATAACCTCAAAATTAGGTCTATATATTTAGGATATTTAGTTAGACTGTGGGTCAAAGGTCATGAGACAAACATAACCTCAAAATTAGGTCCATATTTATAGTTAAACGAAAATATTCATCAAACATCGTAGATTTCAATTTCAATAATAAAAATTTTAATGGTTATATAGTTTATATTCTTTAATTTAAAACATAATTTAATATTGTACAAAAATTTATTATAATCAAACTTACCCCAAAATATTGTATAGATGATGTTGCAGCAGACGGATCACTATCACAAACACTGCGAAAACTGTAGAATAAGAACCTCATCATTTCCATGGTAACTGAAAGGAATAAATTTCATACTCATGAATTAACAAGTACTGTTTAGTCAATAAATGTGTATAAGAATTTCAAATGTATTTTTACATTTTTATTTAAACAAAATAAAATTCTTCGCATTTAGTATAATTTTATTTTTATTTCCTAAAAAGATTTTCCTTACTTTAAATCCCTATAATAGAAAATTGAAAAACAAACGATCGTTATGTTTTTGGGGGCAAGGGGTGGGTCACAAAGTATTTTTCTCATGTAAAATTTGTCAACTTGTTAACAGGAGGGGGGAGGGTGTCAAAATTTGAAAAAAGTACGTGAGATCGTTTATGAAAGATCCCTAACCTAAAAAAGAATTAATTATAGTATTTTAAAAAGATTATGAACAATTTTCGAATAAATTATTGTTAAAAAAGACAAAAAACATGTTTCCGCCCGGGATCGAACCGGGGACCTTCCGCGTGTTAGGCGGATGTGATAACCACTACACCACGGAAACAGTTGAGGGAACATTTCTTGAAACTGGTCTCAGTCTAATAGAAAATAAATACCAAAATTGTCTATTCTAAAAGCGAAATATACAAGTTTATGGTAATTCTAAAACGTTTATTCTCACCTATTGTTCCTCAATTTCGTTAATTTTATCGAATAACACTAAATATCACCACTACAATATCTATATTATTGATATTATTGAGAGAAATTGAAATGACAGTTGACGAAAGACCAGGGCGAAAGACGAACTCAAGAAAACACCATGTACTCTAGTGGTTAGAATTTGTACTAAAAAAAGCACTATGCGTAAGCACTGTCGGTAAGTAGAATATTAAGCTACGGTCGGTAAAACCGAAAGTTAAAAATGTTCCCTTCCTTACCTTATTGAAACCCGGAAACAAATAATCAAAACATTGTCCTTGTCAACCATTGTCAACAGGAATATACGTAATAAATTCAATTGTTGTCAACAAAATATTGTTCAAACTGTAACAGTGGGTGAATAAACAGAAATAAGTGAGTTTATAAATAATGAAGTCGGCGAGAAAAAGAATTGCGAATCACAAAGCACTTTTTAAACAGCGAACACAAAAAGATGACAATGATGAACTCTCGTTTGAATTAATAATTTCTACGAGAAAATCCGGACAATTAGATATGTCAGGTCGTGGTCTCGCTGCAGGTACTTATCAAACTTCTTTTTTTTTTAATTTTAAAATTGTCACTGCATTTTTTTATTAATATAAACATACATAAATGTAAACAAATGTCAAACATAACCTATAAAATTCGATATAGAAATTTCTGAACAAAAAGAATTTTTGTTTATTTAAATAAATATTGTATTTTCGCTGATTATTATAAATTATCTTTATTTGTCAATATTCGTTTAATATTGATAAATAAATAAACAAAGCAGCACCATCGAAACTTTGCACAATTTTAAAAACAATGTTTATTTTTTTCTACCTTCTATTTATCGAATTTACATGTACTTTGAAATATTAACTTAAAGGTGAATTTTATATTTATTTAAAAATAAATAAAAGTAATCTATGTTATTTGTAATAATCGACAAAAAGAAAATATTCGTTTAGTAAAAATAAATAATAAAAATACTTTGCTTGGAAGTGAATTTTCTATATATATTTAAAAATAAATAATAAAAATACTTTACTTAGAAGGGACTTTTCTATTTTATTTAAAAATAAATAAAAATAATCTATGTTATTATTTTTTATAATAATCGACCAAAATAAAATATTCGTTTAGTAAAAATAAATAATAAAAATACTTTACTTGGAAGTGAATTTTCTATTTATTTAAAAACAAATAAAAATAATCTATGTTATTTTTAATAATCGACAAAAATAAAATATTCGTTTAATAAAAATACAAAAATATCGATATATAAAAAATATTTGTTTAAAATCGATAAATATTAAATTCCGCAAGAATTGTAAGCAGAAAAAACTAATACGAATAAAAAATAAAATAAATAAAAATTATATTATATTGATGGTAAATATTTTTCCAGTACCTGAAAAATTATGGACAATTAATGAACTAACGAAGGAGGAACTTGATAAACTTCGGAAGGAAATTGACTTTGAACAGAGTAAAGATTGTTGGTGGGAGCAGGAACCGTTTAGAATTTTAGATTTAAGTTCCAATAGTTTATGTTCAATTGATCCACGAATAAAAAATTTATTGGATCTCACTCTTCTTGACGTACGTGCAATTATAATTTCTCAATACTGAAGTATTGAAAAAAGTAGATTTTCTTCTAAAAATTCGACAATTTTTTTCCATTTCCCTAAAATTTTAATTTTTTTTTTTTTTTATAGAAACTATTTGTTTTGGAAAATATTGAAATAGAGAAAAAATATTCGTTCAATTTGACTTTCGAAATTTAACGAAAAAATTATTTTTTTATTGATTGTTATTATTTTATTTTAGCTCCATGATAATTTACTGGAAACTTTACCACCAGAAATAGAAAATTTACAAAATTTGAAAAATCTAAATATCTCCTTCAATAAAATAAAAACAATTCCACTCGAATTTTATAAACTCATCGAATTACGAAAATTGGATTTGAAAAATAATATTCTCACCGAATTGGACGAGGCGATTGGAGATTTAATTATGCTCGAGACATTGGTACGTAAGAAAGAAGAATGTAGAAATTAAATATATAATTAATTTATTTATTAAATTAAATTTTTTATTTAAGTAAAAGGGTAAATTTTCGTTTTTAATTTAGAATCTTTCGAGTAATAATCTAACTGATATACCTGGTGGAACTGGTTATCTAGTGCGGTTAGTTTCACTCGACTTGAGTCACAATTTACTCAGGGAATTGCCACCAGACATAACAAGCATGCGAGGTGCAATATTTTTTATTTTAAGTTTTTTAAGTGATAAACTTTTCACCTGAAAAACAATGTTTTAAAAGAAAATTTTTCTCTTTTATTTAGGACTGAAAAAATTAGACGCGAGTTTCAATCATTTAGATACGTTACCGCCTCTTGGCGAATTAAGAAAGATTGAAACTCTTCTGTTCGGTTCAAATAATTTAAAAACATTTCCCGATACTATTGGTTGCTCATCATTGCGGGAACTTCATCTAACAAATAACAATATTGCCGTAAGTTTCTTCTCTTTTTAAAATAAATTTTTTATTTTTAACTCCAACCACTTATTAAATTATATTTAATAAATAAAATAAAAGTATAAAGAAAATAATAGAAATGTAAATAAATTAATAAAAGTTTGAGTAAAATAATAAATTTGAATAAAAAATTAAGAATGCACAAGAAATCGAATTTTTAAAGAAAACATTTCTTTTTACAGGAAATTGAAATTTCGTGTTTGGAAGGAATGGGCCAATTGAAAACGCTTTTGTTAGGTGGCAATAAAATTGAAGTGATACCGGAGGAAATGATTAGATTGATAAATTTGGAGCATCTCGATCTTTCGCACAATAATATATCATCGTGAGTATTTTTTTTTATTTAATTTTTTCGAGACAATTATTTAAATTTAAATTTAAAATTATTTAAAAATTTTTTTCTGAAATTAATTTGCAGAATTCCAAATTGTATCGGTATAATGCCCAATTTACATAACTTCATTGTGGAAGGCAACAAATTGCAAAATGTTAGACGTGACATTGTTCAATTAGGCACTCCTCGAATATTACGTCATTTGCGACAAAGCTCAAACGCCAGCAATATTGAAATTCGAGACTGTTCCTCGCCGCTTTGTGAGGATGAAAATTTACCCGACAAGTGTGTATAAATATTTTTCGATTCTAATTAAATTGAATTGTATTTATTTATTTATTTTATAGATAAATATAAATATTTATTAATATTAACAAATAAATATTAATATTTTAATAAGTAAATAAATTTTTGTAAATAAAAATTATTAACACCAATTTCTAATTTGTTTAGGTACGCAATGAAAAATGCAAGACTTCTGAGTCTGATTGGCAAAAATCTGTCAAATATTCCCGATAGGGTTTTCAATGATGCGAAGGAAGCTGAGGTGACTTGCGTTGATTTAAGTCGAAATAGATTGCACGAATTATCAGATGCTCTCTCGCAAGTAACGACAGTCACCGATTTGAAATTAGCCTGCAATCAATTGATAGAAATACCCAATTGGATCGGTGTTCTTCAATATCTACAATTTTTGGATTTAAATAGAAATCGCTTGGTTTATTTGCCGGAAAATATTGCAAATCTCGAACGTCTGCGTGAACTGAACATATCATTTAACAAGTAAATTATTTCCAAATCTAATATTAAATCAGGGTTGCCACAGATTTATAAAAAAAAAAATAACTCTTATTACTCAGAATAAATTTTACAATTAAAGATATTCAAAAATGAATAAAAATAAATTATAAAAATTTTTTGAGTGATAAAAAATATTCTTTAGATTCAGGAAAAAAAGTCAAAATTCCGTCCGAAAATCAGAGAAAAGTGAGGAAAAAATAAAATCAAGTTTTTGTGGCAAGATATTATTAAATAATTCGAATTAGAAGATTAAATATTAATATTAATATTAAGGTCATTAAAATTAAATATTCGAATAGAATTAATTTGAATTATTACAAAAATGATTTTTCTTTTACAGATTCACAGAAATACCGGAATGCTTATACGAAATTTCGCATCTTGAAATTCTCACTGCAAATGACAATCAAATTAAAAATATTGACGTGCCTGGTTTGAGTAAATTACGAAGGCTCACAATTCTCGAGTTGTCTAATAATAACATTGCACACATTCCACCAGAATTGGGAAATCTAATACATCTCAGGTATATTTAAAAATAAGAAAAAATTCTTATTGAATATTGTTTTCTTTTTTGTATTTAAATTTTTTATCAAGTTTCGAATTGTGCTTAAATATTTTATTTACGCAATATTCGTGTAGTTTAGTAATTTTGTTGTTGTTGGTATAATTTTATTCATTTCATAGGCACACAAAAAAACAATATATATACGAAAGATTGGTAAATATTTGCAAGGAATTTTTGTTTGTGCAAATTTTTCAATTATGTTTAAGTTTGCATATTATATTGAATTTGAAAATCACTCACTTTTCCACTTGCTTTAGAAGTATGTTGCATTGTGCATGACACATTCCATAAAATTCAGAAATCAACCTGCGCTGCTGATGACGTTATTTTCATCGACATTTCCCATATTTATTTTGCATTCTCATCATTATTACAATGAAATATTCAATAATAAAATGAAGGTAAGATAAAATTTTTATTTACACTCCATTTCATAATTTGAATTTCAAATTAATTTCCTTTTTTAATTCTTATTAAATTATTTATTATTATTATTATTTTTTTTTTTTACAAAACAAGTTTAGGAGAAAAAAATGCTTTAATAATAATAATTATTATTATTATTATTATTTATTTATTTATTTATTTAAGTCTCATCCCTCAATTATTAGCTATTATTGTTTGTTAATATTATTGTTAGTTATTATTTAAATACATATTTTTGCTATTTATTATTTAATTTATAATAATTGAAAAATATAAATTTCAGGACTCTATCGCTTACCGGAAATTGCTTTAAACAACCGAGACAAGCAACTTTACTGAAGGGAACAGAAGATATTCTTTCCTATCTTCGTGACAAAATTCCTCGAACGTAATCAACGTAAATATTTAATTGAAAATATCTATTTATCAATAATTGCGAGAAAAAAATTGTTTCAAATTTCTTTACAAAAGAAACGGTGTGAAACAGTATTTTTTTAAAAGAAAATTCAATTTATGCTCAAAAAAAAAATTTTAAAGCTTACAATTTATTTTCTTATAATCGCGAAACATTATTTCGTTTGCTATTTGCAAATATTATATTTTTTTATTCTGCTAAATTATACACTACATTTATTTATTATTATTTTTCTATTTAATAAAGTTCGAGATAAATTTGTTTATTGTTGATAGATTTTTTTTCTGTATTTTATTATTTATATTACTATATTATTATTTATATTATTATTTATATTATTATATTATTATTAATATTATTATATTATTATTAATATTATTATTTATTTATTTATTTATTTGCATTTCTTTTGTGATGCTCTATTTTCCACACTCGCTTTAAATGTTGTTTGCCATTTAAAAATAAAATGTGAGTTTGCCATTATTTTAAATTTTGTAACTTTTGTTATAAAATTGTTAAAAAATTTTTTTGTTAAAATTTGAAATGTCAACAATTCTTTGTAAAGAAAACATTTCTACATCTTTTAAGTAAATTAATATTCGCTTTTTTTTATCAACGTCTGTATTATTGTAAAGACTTTCACGTAAATTTAAATTTTTTCATGAGTAAAAAAATGAGCAGTTTATCATTAGAATAATTATAAAGATTAAAGATTTTTTAGGCAATAAAAATATAAACAATGGATGCTAGAAAATATTAGAAAAACGATCGTTCTTATATTACAGTATTTAAATACAATTAAAGTATACGAAATAGATAAATAAATAAATCTAGTCGATTGTTATAGAAAAATGTATTTTCTTCAAAAAAAGGGTTTTTTTCAAAATTTTCTTAATCTAGTCATTTTTAAAAAATAAAATGTATTTGTATCGATGAAAAAATAAACTTAATAATAAATTGTATTTATTATATAAATGTTTTTTACTTTTAAATAATAATAATAATAATAATAATAATAATAATTAAATGAAATGACTTGAATTTCAAATATTCGAATTTTAGCGCTACCAACGCTACCAACAAATATGACAGTGCTGCCAAATAAAAAATACCAATTTCATGAAATGTCAAAATTGTACACATAACCTAAATGTTCCTTAGGAACGTAGGATCGTCATTGTTGAAATCAGTTGAAACAAGTTGAAATAAATGTTTATAAAGTATAAAATAAGTTAATTTACAAATTCTAATCATGTCGGTTATGTTAACAGCCGATTGGTTTTCACTTGGAAATGATGCATATTTCAGGTATTATATTTTTTTTCGGTTAATTTTAATAACTTGTTAATGTCAATGTCAATCAACAATCAACCTATAAACACTGGTGAATCTGATTATTCTAATTCCGGCGATAATTTAATATAAAAAACCTTTCGGGGTATTAGAATAAATGATAATAAATAAAAATTATTGGTGATTTGTTGATTTATATTAAAATATAATTAACTGATTCATTAGCCGCTAAATGAATACACCGTTTTTAAACATCTATCGAGCGATTATTTCAATTTTCACGTAAACTGCAATTTGTTATTTTCTCCATTTACAGGAAATTTGAACTTTATCCATTATCATTTTATAATGAAGCAAATGCTAATCATTTAATAGTAGCAGCACCTTATGGAGGGTCCATAGCGATAACAAGAAATCCGAAGAAATTGGTTAAAGTTCAAGGAGCCGGAAAACCAGTAATACTGTTTTATTCGTCGTCTGGGAGAATTATGGCTAAACTACAAGTATTTATTTTTATTTAAACAAAATTTTAACGTTGATTTTAATTTAATAAAAATTCTAATTTGGATTTTAATTAAATAAAAATTCTAATCTCGATTTTAATTTAATAAAAATTCTAATCTGGATTTTAATTTAAATAAAAATTCGAGAAACGAATTGAATAGAAATATAATATAAATAAAATATTGAATGTAAAGAATGTTTTTGATTAATAATTTTATTTAAACAGTGGACTAGTGGACAATTAGTAACATTAGGATGGTCGCATCAAGAGGAATTACTCTGCATTCAGGAGGATGGAATGGTTCTTATTTACGACATGTTTGGCAATTATCAACACGCGTTTAGCATGGGAAATGTAAGTTTCAATCTATAACATTTTTTTCTCGAATTGTCAAGGAATTTATTCATTTTCTTCGTTTCTAATATTCACAGGAAGCAAAGCAGACAAAAGTAATTGATGCGAAATTTTTTGTCAGTGTTAACGGCACTGGTTTAGCAATTTTAACGTCTACAAGTCGTATTTTTTTGGTGAACAATGTCAGTGAGCCGAAAGTTCGACAATTGGAAATTCCTAGTAAGTTTGTCTTTTCTAAAAAAGAAATTTTTAACATTCAGCTCTCGGATCGACTATTTTCAAAAAAATTCAACTAATTTTCGAAAATTGACACTTTTACGATTTTTTCTTTTAATTATTCAGGGTTGCCACAGGTCAGGGAAATCAGGGAAAAGTCAAGGATTTTTATTAAAAGTACTGGAAAAAATTGAATTTTTTTTTTTTTTTTGTTTGCCTCGTAAACTATGAGATTACCACGAATTTTAATACAAAACCTTCAATTTTTTTCTATTTCTGACAATAATTTCTTTTTAAATAATTTAATTTTTCAAGAAATATCATAAAATTATGACTTAGAAATTATTTAAATGAATAATTTTTACCATTTTCATAAATACTAGATTGATAGAAGAATTTTAGTTAAAAATACCTACTAAAAAAAAATTGAATTTTGAAAAATTAAAAGATTCTAGAAATTCTCAAAATTTCAATTATCTTTATAAATAATAAACTTCTTCATCGAAATTCAATTATTTTAATAAAATTTTTGGCAAAATTCTACAGGAAATCCCATGAAAGAGAGGAAAAAATGTTGAAATTTAAGAAATTTGGATTTTTGAATTTTTAATAATTTTAGATAATTTTAGATAATTTTGGATTTTTTACCAAAGAGTCGAGACTATTAAATAAATAAAGTATTTTCCAAAAGCACAAAAATAATTGAGCTAAATTCCATGAAAGAGAGGAAAAAATGTTGAATTTTAAGAAATTCGGATTTTTGAATTTTTGATAGTTTTCGATAATTTTGGATTTTTTACCAAAGAGTCGAGACTATTAAATAAGTAAAGTATTTTTTAAGAGCACAAAAATAATAAAGCTAAATCCCATAAAAGAGAGGAAAAAATGTTGAATTTTAAGAAATTCGGATTTTTGAATTTTTGATAATTTTCGATAATTTTAGATTTTTTACCAAAGAGTCGAGACTACTTAATAAGTAAAGTATTTTCCAAAAGCACAAAAACAATGAAGCTAAATCCTATGAAAGAGAGGAAAAAATGTTGAATTTTAAGAAATTTGGATTTTTGAATTTTTGATAATTTTAGATAATTTTAGATAATTTTGGATTTTTTACCAAAGAGTCGAGACAATTTAATAAGTAAAGTATTTTCCAAAAGCACAAAAATAATTAAGCTAAATCCCATAAAAGAGAGGAAAAAATGTTGAATTTTAAGAAATTCGGATTTTTGAATTTTTGATAGTTTTCGATAATTTTAGATTTTTTACCAAAGAGTCGATACTATTTAAAAAGTAAAGTATTTTCCAAAAGCACAAAAATAATTAAGCTAAATCCCATGAAAGAGAGGAAAAAATGTTGAAATTTAAGAAATTCGGACTTTTGAATTTTCTATAATTTTCGATAATTTTAGATTTTTTACCAAAGAGTCGAGACTATTAAATAAGTAAAGTATTTTCCAAAAGCACAAAAATAATGAAGCTAAATCCCATAAAAGAGAAGAAAAAATGTTGAATTTAAAAAAAAATTGGTTTTTCGAATTTTTGATAAATTTTGATAATTTTCGAATTTTTACCAAAGGGTGGAGACTATTAAATAAGTAAAGTGTGTTAAAGAGCCTAAAAATAGTGAAATTAGATTTAAAATTCCACTGGAATTTCGTAAAAATTTGACCTGGAAATCATGGAAAAGGTATGGAATTTTAAATTCGGATTTCTGTAGGAATCCTTTTAAAAATTTTATTAAAATTTGTCAAAAGAATTCAATTATTTAAAAATTTGTTGATATAATTCTTTATAAGAATTCAATTTTAACAAACATTCAATTATTCAGTAGGTTATTTATTTTTTAATTTAAATAATTGAATTCTCCTTAAATTTTCTACTAAAAATTGATTTAAAAATTAAAATTATTTAATTATTTAACCGAATAATCGATTTATTATTTATGAAATAAAAAAATAGCGAATTATTGCAACGAATTTTATTACATTTTTTTTAAATAATTAAATTTTTTTGAGTAATTTTACTAATACTTGTAAAAATAATTGAATTCTTGCGAAGGATTTTATTAGGATTTTTGTAAATAATTAATATTTTTTTGAAAAATTTTAGGGCAATTCAAATTATTACTTCGTAATAATATTCTTATAAGTTGTTGAATTTCAAAAAGATTTGAATTTGAATGTTTTGAAAAATTTTAATTACTACAGAAAAATAATATTGATTTAATATTTATTTAAAAAAAGAAATTATTGATGTTTTTGAATAATTTTACAATTAAAGAAATTTGTAAATAAATGTAGTAGAACATTTTTTTGAGTATTTAATAATTTTTAGAGTGAATCAGAATATTCTTTATAGGGTCAGGGAAAAAGTGAAAATTTTGTCTGGAAATCAGGGAAAAGTCAGGGGAAAATAAAGTTAAATATTTGTGGCAACTCTGTTATTGCAATAAAATGATTTTGATTTAAATTTCTTTTTTCTCTTTCTTTAATTTTGTTTCATATTTTATGTTTCAAGAACTTGGCGGTCCAATTGAATGGTGTATTATGCGAAAGGATAGAGACAGTCAAGTTATTATTTCAAATCAAGAAGGAATTCAAGAGATTCATCAGAATCAAACGACAATTACAACAGCTTTCGTATGTACAAGAAAATATTTTTTTTTATGAAACGAACAGATGGGCAAGAAATTAAAACGTATTTTCTATTCTTTTCTTGCAGAGTAAACTCTTCAGCAATAAAATATCCAGCATAGTGGCAATAGTTGCTTCCGGTAACAATAGACACATCGCTTTATATTCCGACACTGGACATTTGTATCTTGGTTCAGTTGACTTTAAAGACAAATATTGCGAGTGTTCAACAAACATGAAGGAGACTTTAACGGACATTGCATGGTTTGTATTTCTATTTTTTCGTTTTTAATTTTTTATTTTTCATTTCTAATTTTCGTTGTTTTATTTTTAATTTTATTTTAATTTCCATTCTTTCGTTTTTAATTTCTAATTTTCAATATTTATTTCGCCCAGGTGTGGAACGGAGGCTGTCGTTTGCAACTGGGACTCAACGGTAATGATAATTGGCCGTTCGGGCGAAACAATGGTTTACACTTACGACGGTCCAGTTCATCTCGTGACGGAAATCGACGGAGTGCGAATTATTTCCAGTTTCTCACATGAAATGATACAGAAAGTACCGAACGTGGTGCAAAAAATATTTAGAATTAATTCAACGGACGCTGCATCGTATTTATTGGAGGCTTCAAAACAATTTCATAAAAAGAGTCACAAGGCCGATAGCTACATGGATTTAGTTAAAGAAAAACTTGATCATGCCGTGATTGATTGTGTCGACGCCTCGAGCCATGAATTTAATTTCGAAACACAAAAACTACTAATGCGAGTGAGTAGAAGAAATATTATGATTTTTTCTTACGTATAATTTATTTTTAATACTCAAAGTTGGAATGTTGCGCTTTTCAAATAGGCAGCAAAATATGGAAAAGGATTCAGTAAGACCATTAATCCCGAGCATTATGTCAGTATGTGTCGAACTTTGAGAATTTTAAATGCAGTTCGTCATCCGAATATTGGAATTCCTTTGACGTATACGCAGTATCCTTTTTGTCTTTATTTTTAACACAATTGTGAATGTATTTTAATGTATTTTATTATTGAATTTACTCTATTGGTACATCAATAATTTGAGTAATATTTTCTATTTTATTCTTTAATGAAATTTAATAAAAAAAAATGACCTTAACTAATTCAGATTAAACGCACTAACGAGTCAGGTATTACTCGACAGATTAGTTGCAAGGAGACATTATTATCTGAGTATTCAAATTGCCAGACATCTTCGTTTGTCGGAGGTTGATGGAGAGAGTCGAATTTTGGCTCAATGGGCTTGTTACAAGGTGATCATTACGGCAAAAGGATTTTTGCGTTGAAAAAAAATTAGCACTTACATAATAATCATATATTTCTTCAGGTGAAGCAAACGCAACTGGATAAGGAGCAAATTGCAGAAGAAATTGCTGATAAATTAGGTTACGCACCCGGAGTTTCCTACAGTGAAATTGCATTAAGAGCGGCTGATTGTGGAAGAAAGCAATTAGCGATAAAAGTGAGTTGACTAAATCTTTTTTTAGGAAAATCTGTTTCGAAAAAAATATTGCCAAAATAAGAGATGAAGGAAATAAAATTTATTCTTAGTTAATAGATTATGAGCCGAGAGCTCAACTTCAAGTTCCTTTACTGCTTCGGCTTGGTGAGGAAAAGGCCGCTCTTAATAAAGCCGTTGAAAGTGGAAATACGGATTTAGTTTATACGGTTATTCTTCATCTCAGAGAACACATGTCCCTAAGGGATTTTCAGGTAGTTTCCAATATTAATAATCAATATTAATAAATTTTGCGATCCGCTCATACCTAAGAAGCAAAAAAGTTATCTTTTACGATAATAAATATTAATTAATAATTAATTTTACTTTCTCAGATGGCTATTATGCATTGTCCTCTTGCAATGGCATTGTATATAAAATATTGTCAGAGTCACAATCGAGAAACTTTGAGAGATATTTACAATCAGTATGATGATTATCATTCACATGCTCTCTGGTTCGTTAAGGAGAGTTATAGACCAAAGGTAAATTTTTTTTGCAATTCATTCCTTTTTTCCTTCATTAAATTCAAATATTTATCTATTAATTAATTAATTAATTTATTTTTTTATTTAAATAATATGTAAATATTCTGGGTTGCCACGCAACCTGGAAAACCTGGAAATGTCAGGAAATTTTATAAACCTTGAAAAAACCTGGAAAAGTCAGGGAATTTTGATCGAAATCCTGGAAAATTGGTATTTTCTAAAATTTATTCTTGAAATCTAATCTTACACAATTATTTCAAAATTAATTGAATTTGAAAAGAGTTGCGTACTTACAATTTTCATAAGTACAGATGAATTTCAAAAGATTTTTAATTTGAAATTTTGTAAAATTTCAATTTTGAATGAATTTAATTAGAAATCGTCTTAAAGAAAACGTAGATTTTTGAGAAATTTTAATTATTCCAATTCTTCTGAAATTAGTTAAATTTTTTAATTCATATTTTTAATTGATTATTAAAAATAATAATGGATTTATAGAAGAATTTTAATTAAAAACACTAAGAGAAATTGAATTTTGAAGCAATTACAAAATGATTGCAGAAATTCAATTATTTTCAAACAATTTTTAATAAAATTTATGGCAAAATTTCAAATATTTTAAAAAACTTCCCTCAATTCAATGATTTTTAAAAAATACTTTAATAAAATTGTCCAAAAGAATTCAATTATTTAAAAAAAATTTTAATGAAATTCTACGCCAAACATTTAATTATTTTCATAAATAATAACATTTTTTACAGGAATTCAATTATTTTCAATGAATAATAAAACTCATCGCAGACTTTCAATTATTTTAAATACAATTTTCATGAAATTCCTCGAAAAATGAAATTATTCTTAAAAATTTTATTAAAATTCATCAAAGAAATTTAATTATTTTTAAAAACCTTTGCTACAATTTATTTATTAGAATTTAAGGATTATTTTCTATAAAGTTTTAATTAAATTTCTTTGAAAAAATTAAATTATTTTCAAAAATTTTAATGAAATTCTTTGTAACAATTCAATTTTTTTTCAAAATAATTTTAATAAAATTCTTCGTAGAAATTTAAATAATTTCAAAAATTTTAAAAATTCAATTACTTTTCAATGTCTACTATTTCAATAAAATTTCATAAAAGAATTCAATTATTTAAAAAGACATTTTAAATAAAATTCGTCTCAAGAATTCAATTATTTTCAAAAAATTAATATAATTCCTCGCAGAAATTTAATTGTGTTTAATAATTTACAAAAATTCGCGTTAAAATTTTTAATAATCTTTATAAATTTTTCTCCGGAATTCAATTATTTTCAAAAATTTTTAATAAAATTCTTGGCAAAATTTCAATTATTTTCAAAAATTGTTTAAAAAATTGTTTGGCGAAATTCAATTATTTTTAATTAAAATTTTAATCAAATTTCCGAAAAATTATTTTTGAAAATTTTATTAAGATTTGTCAAGAGAAAACAAATATTTAAAAATTTGTTGAAAAAATTCTTTCTGAGAGTTCAATTTTACGAAATATGTATTCAATTATTCAATAAATTATTCATTTTTGTATTTTAATAATTGAATTCTCGTGGATTTTTTTTAGTTAATATTGATTTAAAAATTAATTTCAGTTAAAATTTTACATTCTCATTGAATATTGAAAGCTAATAATAGCGTAAATACTTTTCGTACTTTTTGATTAACAATTCTGTACAATTAATTTTTTTTTAAAAGTTTAATTGAATTTTTCTTTAATTCTTCAAGTTTTTATTTTCTTATATATATTGAAGAATGGCAGAATAATCAAACATACGTAAATTTTAAACAAAAAATTGTGGAAATTCTCAAAGAACTTTTTCAAAAATTATAAAAAAAAAATTGAGTTCAAGAAGAATTTTAGTTAAAAATTCTAGAAATGAAGAATTGAATTGAAATGAAAATAATTTTGAAGAAATTATAGTAACAATTTATCTTCATGTTTTACAATAATATTCTTATAAATGTTATTGAATTTAAAATTTTTGAAAATCTTAATTTCTGTAAAAAAAATAATAATGATTAAATATTCATTTAAAAATGAAGTTATTGATGTTTTCGAGTAATTTTACAATTAAAGAAATTTGTAAATAAATGTAATAGAACAGGAAAAAAGTCGTTTTGTCTGGAAATCAGGGATTTTGGTAAAATTAAAAATAAAATTAAAAATTAATATTAAAATTTGGTAAAATATAAATGTAGTTTTAAAAACCTGGAAAAATTCCGTTTTTTAAACCTGGAAAACCTGGAAAAGTCAGGGAATTTGAAATGAGGAAAAGCGTGGCAACCCTGATATTATATAGAGATTACTTTTTACAGAATTCAGCCTCGAGGGACCCAATGTTGCAGTCTGCTCAAGAAAATTTTAAATTAGCACGTAACGATACAAATGCAACTCTAACGGAAGAACAAATTAAACTTTTACGTTATCAACGCTCCTTAGAGGAGACATTACACGAATCAATTGTTGGAAAACCTCTTCATGAGACTGTTGAAATTCTCCTTCTCCAAAATGAAATTAAACTCGCCGATAAATTGAGATCCGAGTATAAAATTCCAGATCGAAGGTATTAAAATTTAATCATTCATATTCATTCATATTCATTCAAATTAGAAAAAAGAAAAGTACAAAAAAAGTTAAAAAGAAGCAAATCGTAATGAACTTTTATTCTGATTAATTTTATTATTTAATTTAAACTAAAACTCTATTTATTATTTATTACGTAATATTTTTTTTACAGATATTGGTGGTTGAGAATACAAAGTTTAGCCAAGAAAGGCCTTTGGACTGAAATGGAGAAATTTTCGAAGAGCAAAAAATCACCAATCGGTTATGAGGTAAGATTTTTTTTTTTAATTAAGTATATATTTAAGAAATGTTTCTAGAAGTGTTTCCTAAAACACCTGAAAATCAAATCGAGACTTGAAAATAGAATTCAAAAGATTGGTTCATTGTCTCGATGTAGAAAATCGAAATCCAAATTTAAAAACTTTCTGCCTTTCATGTCAAAATGGAACACAGAAGTAAATTTATTTCTAAAAACTAAAAATCTAGGATTAATTATATTAGGATTAATTAATAGTTAGAATTAGAGAATTCGTTATTCCCAAGAAGGTTAATGAGCATTTTTTGTTCGCAGCCTTTTATAGATGAATGCTTAAAATACAAAAACGAAATCGAGGCAAAAAAGTATTTACCTCGAGTTAAAGACGATTTAAAAGTGAAATATTTAACTAAAGTAAAGTGAGTATCAACCACAAATATTAGCTGTTAATTTTTCTACAATATAGAAAAACTACAAAAGCAAAAATTTTCAGTATGTTATCAGAGGCAGCAGAAATTGCCTTTGAACAAAAAGATTCGGCTGCATTGTCTTACGTTTTGGCGCACTGCGGAACATCCGATCGTAGAATAGCAGAAAAAATTAATACCATGATTGTCAGCTTAACGACAAACAAATGATTTCCACAAAAAATCCACAAAGTGTGATTCCTCAAAAATTGAAGCTTTAAAGACAACAAATTTTCTCATAAATAACTCGAAAGAAAATTTAATTTAAATATATATTTATAAAAATCTATGACACATTAACAAAAAAAAGTGTGATAATTTATCCTAATTTAAATTTTTTTCTGCAGAAACCAGTTTTGCAGAAACTTTATACATTTTTATTTTATCCTCTACTGTAAAAATATAAAATTCCTATATTATTTCTATGAGTTAAAATCCAACCGTTTTTGCCCCGAACAAATTTTTACTGAAAATCTGTTTTTTCTATTCTGGTTTATATAATTAACGAATTATAATATTTAGTACAAAAGTAGTTTACCACTTTTGTAAATAGGAAGAAAAGAAGGTTCAAAGTCTTCATCTTGACATTTTAGCATCGAGAATAAATTTATCATGTTTCTCAACAAGATCGGCAATTATTTTCTTCTCAATTTCCATGCCCTGGGAAATTTCTGATTTTGTCATTGTTATCTCATAATTATCATCTTTGCTGACAATTACAACTCGTTCTTTTCGAGTTTGCAGCATATTTGCCACAACGAACTGAAAAAGAAAGAATATAAATTATTAATTTTGCAATTCAATTATTTTCAAAAGAATTTCACGAAAGAATTCAATTTTTTTCTTAATTCATTATAAAATTTTTCAAAAGAATTCAATTATTTTCTAAAATTTTAATAAAATTCAATTATTTTCAAAATTTTTAATTAAAATTATTAAAAAAAACTCCATTATTTAAAAAAAATAAAAGAAATTCTTCAAAAAGAATTTAATTAGAATTTTCAAAAATTTTAACAAAATTCTTAGACTTACTTTGTGTTGATAATTATTAAGAGCATCTCTAGCTTTGGAGATTAATAAATTTTCGTCAGTTTCAAGTTTAAAAGATATCACAAAAGCATCAGGCACCCAGAGGCTTACTAAGGGTTTCAAAATTTTTGGCACCAATTGCAGGGCAATTTTCGGTGGACCACTTGATGATATTTTATGCACTGCCTGTAATTATTCGTAAATTATTAGATTATGAAAAATGGAATAGAAATTAGAGTAAATTGAAGAATAAATTACCATTTCGTTGGGTGGAATGTAAAAATCGGAGGCAGCGGCTGCTAGATAAAAAATTGCCTTTTCTTTTAAGGGAGCGAGCGCCTGACAAGCTGATCGCAGTAGCCAAAGATAATCAGCTAAAGTTGTAAAATTTATTTGCAGCAGTCTCCCCTGTTTCAATATTTCCTTATATTTACATAATACTTTTGAAACTTGTTCTGTATATTGTGAGGAAACTGTAATTTAATATTAAAAATATTTAATTAATCATTAAATTAATTAATTTAATCATTAATTAAATTAATCATTAAATCATTGAAGAATTATATAAAAAAAAGTTTAAAATTATTGAATTTCTTCGTAGAATTTTATTTTTCAATATTCAATTAAAAATAATTGAATTCCTTCGAGAAATCTTATTAAAATTGAATTCTCGTTAGGGATTTTATTATTCAAAATTTATTAAATTTTTGAAAATAATTGAATTCGCAGGAATGGAATTATTTTCAATACGATTTAAATTAAAATCTAAAGAATTTTATTGTTTTTAAAATTCTTCATCAAATTTGTCGCATGAATTCAATTATTTTCAATAAAATATTAACTAAATTAATCGAGAGATTTAAATTTTCATTAAATTCAATTATATTCAAAAATTTTAATATTATAATTCTTGACAAGAATTTAATTATTTTTATAAATAATAAAATTCTTCCTAGAAATTCAATTATTTTCAGTAAAATTTCCTGATGAATTTCAATTATTTTCAAAATTTTAATAAAATTGCTTGAAGCAATTCAATTATTTTGAAAAATGTTGATAAAATTCTTTAGAAGAATTCAATAATTTTTAATTTTTAATCCTTAATTAAATTCATTTTAATAGAATTTAACGAAAGAATTGAATTATTTTTTAAAATTTTAATAAAATTTGTCGCAAGAATCGAATTATTTTCATTAGTTTCAAAAATTCCTCTAAAAAATTCTATTCTTGTTAAGAATTTTATCAAGAAATTTGAAAATAATTTTATTGTTTCAAAGAAAATAAAAATTATGAAAAAATTTTAATTCTTATTAAAATAATTCAATTCCTGCGATAAATTTTATTAAAATTTTGAAAAAATAATTCAATTCTTTCGTTAAATTTTATTAAAATTGTATTGTAAATAATTCAATTCTTTCAAGAAATTTAAATAAAGATATTTTGAAAATAATGAAATTCTAATAAACAAATTTTATCAAAATTTTTGAAAATAATTGAATTCTTTCTTTAAATTTTATTAAAATGTTATTGGAAAATTTTCCAATTCTATCAAGAAATTTAAATACAAAATTTATTGAAAATAATTGACTTCTTGTTAAGAATTTTATTGAAATTTTTTTTAAATTATTCAATTCTTTCGAGGAATTTTATTAAAATTCAATTGAAAATTATTAAATTCTTTCTAGAAATTTAAATAAAAATTTATTGAAAATAATTGACTTTTTGTAAAGAATTTTATCAAAATTTTTGAAAATAATTGAATTCTTTCGTTAAATTTGTTTAAAATTCTATTAAAAATAATTCAATTTTTTCAAGAAATTTCATTAAAAATTTATTCAAAATAATTGACTGCTTTTAAAGAATTTTATCAAAATTTTTGAAAATAATTGAATTGCTTCAAAAAATGTTATTAATAATTCTTTACTTAATTTTTTTTTTAAATTTTGAATCTGAAATTATTCAAAAGTTGAAATTGATAATTTGAAAATAATAAATTTGCAAAATAATATAATAAATATTGAACTTTTTGTTAGTTTAATAATATTAAAAAAAAAAATTCATTTAATTTTAAAAATATCTTACTTTGAACTATTGGTTGTTCATCGTTAATTCCTAAATCGAGCATATCAAGGAATGATTGATTTGCAAAATGACGTGAAAAAGGCTCCAGTGATTTTAGTCTATAAAAGAAAATTTTTCAAAATTACTCGAAATTCAAAAGTATGGAAAATATTTTCAAAAGAAAAAAAAAGTAATACCTGTGTAGAAAAATAACGGAATATCCATTATCTAGAAAGTATTCTGCAGAAATTGCTCCTCTTGTTCCAGCGCTGAAATTATCCACGTAACGTACTGTATTGTGTTCCAATGGAACTGTAGTGCCTCCACTCTGTGAATTAAAATTTAATATTTAAAATTTAATTTTAAATTTAAATTTTAAATTTTAATTTTAAATTAATATTAAAATTAACATTAAAACTGAGTATTTAATTAGATACGAATGAGAAATTTCAACTCTTGAATTTTCTCAAAAATATCTGAATTTGTTTATTTAAAACACAAATCCAAAAAAAAATTGAATAATTTTCAAAAGGTACATTACCGTCACAATAGCAATTTTTTGATCCTCATGTTGTTGAGCAAATTTTTTCATAAGATTTTCACTGTTCAGTAAATCCAAAGGCGGTGGATTTTTAGCGTAAAATTCTTCCCAATTCGACGCCATAATTTTAATAATACTTATTTAATCCAAAATGATTTAATTCATTCGATTCATTCAATTCTAAAAATTCTAACTGAAATTTAAAACAGGAAATGGCACATAGAATTTCTAAAACGAAGGCCTTTTAAGGGGGGAAGGGGAATCATGAATATTAATTAACGAATTACCTAAGCAATTATTATTATTATTACCTATATTTAAATATTCTCAGTAGGTCAAAAATATTATTTCCAATATACCACATAATATATTTATAATTATTTTAATTTTGATTTCTGTTTCTGTTTCAAAATTGGGATTTTAAAGGTTAATTTCAGACGCGACAAAATTTTTCGGAGTATAATTAGTCTTAATTATTACTTTGATCGTATTATACCTAAAAATATAGATTTCACAATTTTTTGTTGGCATATTATTGCAATTATTAGTAAACATGTTATCTAGCGCAAAGATAATAATAAAAAATCTGACATTTTGTTATGAAACGAGTTATATAAATTCGAACATAACCTTAAAATTTTTGACGTATTAGCGCATTAATTATTGAAAAATACAACATTTACTTATCTTGATGGTAATTTTTATTTCCGATAGAGATAAAATGAGAACACAAAAGTTAATTACTTACAAATTAGATTTGCATTTGAGAAATAAAATATGATTCCCACGTGGTAGAATATTTAAGAATCTAAATAAACCATTACAAAAGAATTCTGGAATTTAATTTTTCTCTACGTGGAATTGAAAAATAGAAAATAAAAAATGAATTAAAAATATAGTATAATGATGATATTCCCTTCCGAAATTTTTTATATTAGAAGTAAGTAGAAATTTCGATCCGTGGAAGGTAAAAGTATAGACATAATTGGTTTTTTTCGTCTTATAAAGACGAAAAGAAAAAAAAATAATTTAAAAGTTATTTACCACATCACAAAAACACGTTACATATTAAATTCGCACAGTTATAACTGGCACGCCGAGTTTTGGAAAGCGTTTCGTCAAGACGGGATTTCTAAAAAAAGAGAATTACAAAAATATTGATTCTCCAAATTTTATTTCATTAATGTACAATAACCAAAACTGATACTTAAATAGCGAGAATCACTTCGATTTTCGGGGGTAAATTATGGGCAAAACAATTTTATTTAATCCTATTTAATACTTTTAATTCCACTTCTAGAATTGAGATTCATTAGATTTCTCTAAAAATCAAGATTTTTAATCTTTAGATTTTAAAGAAAATTCTCGAATCAAATTATTGCATAATTATATGAAATAAAATAAGTTATGTGTTATTTTTGACTAAATTGAATTGTGTCTAGTTTTTCCATATTTAATAATCAAAGACTGATTTCATTTTCTTGGGTGTATCTCTGCCTTCAGCTGGATTTAAAATCTATGGAAAAAAAGAAAGAAAAATTCTTAGCTGTGTCCGTTGCGTCATACAAATTTTTTTAGAACAAAGGAAATATGAAATATACCTTGTAGTTTTTATCTTTATATTCATTCCAGGGTTCTGGATTTGTGATAAGATTCCATGAGACATCAGGATTCTTGACTGCCAATCTTATGAGGTACGCACCTGAGGTGAGACATCCAGCAGCAAAGACGACATAAAGTGGTATCAGCTGGTTTTTTCAAAAAAAGGAAAAAAAGAATGAAAAATCGTTATTTTTTGCACTGAGGTGAGTACACGATGGATATTTCATGTTATTTCTTACCGCTGGATGTTTCTTTATTGACTTGAGACTTAGTCCTTGCATGTAAGTCATCTTGATAGTTATTCCTTTCTTCTGTTCACTAAATGACAAATGAAACTTCCAAAAATATCTAGGAAAAATGACCTTCTTCTTCTCTATTTCCTACTAGCAGAAAATTTAGCAGACGATGTGAATTTAGTCATATAACGTTAAACAGCGTTCACAGCACTGCGCAAACGCAAATCGCAAGCTGTGAACCCGTCTTAAGTTTCATTTTTTGCCTGTTGGTCACATTGCGCTCGGAAGTTTCCAAAGTAGCAGTTGGCATTATTTGCTCTTTATTATAAATATTTAACAGTTGCCATTGGCCGTTGGTCCGTTGGTTAATTAATACTTTGTTGATATTGATAAAGAATATTTTCGCTGGAACTACTTTTCACTTTCGGATAAAAGATCGACTTTAGGAAATTAGGAATTTACATTTTACTGATTTTACTGTTTTACGGAAATACGGGACTTTACGTAGGACGCTCTTGACTTCCGTGATTTTAACAGAAAACCGTGTTTTGACAAATCGATAAATCACTTGAACGCCTATAAACAAAGAAAGTGCCGGTTCATTGCACTTTGACGCTTTTTTCTACTGTAAAAATTGTAAAAAAAAATAGTAGCAAAACACCAAGTGTGAAACAATAATTAATGTGTTCAATTTTCATACTGAATTTGTGATTAACTATAAAACTTTATACAAAAGTTCGGGCGTTTTTCTTTTAAGCAGAAAGCAGCAAAGGAGGATTAATAAATTTCATAAATTTCCAGTGGATTATTGAAAGATTACGAAATATTTATGGGCCACACAGCTAGAGATTGGGAAATGCTTCAAATTAAGGGAGAGTTCCGTGAAAAATTTACTCTCGAGGGTAAAGATGATTCCCACAACTTGTTGAGCAACATGGTTGATGTCCGAGCTTGTTACAAGCCCAGTGAAAAAGTGAGTTTATTTTTTCGTATTTATTTTTCCTATCTGAATGCAAAAGTTTATTTAGACTTTTTGTGCACAAAATAGTCGCTTAAAAGGCTTTTTGTTGTTGTTGGATAATTTATACACACATACACGTGCTTTTGTAATTTTTCTATTAATTATTAATAATTATAATTAATAATTTATTTGTTTTGAAAACTATTAGAATTTTTTAGTCTTATAATATGTTAATTCGTAATTTATATTTATTTTGAAAACTATTAGAATTTTTTAGTCTTATGATATGTTAATTCGTAATTTCTATTTATTTTGAAAACTATTAGAATTTTTTAGTTGAATATTTACAGAAGTAACTCTAAAAATGTAGAGCGATTTTTAATTATTCTTTCAATGAAATTTTCATGAGACGAGAATTTTTTTGCCATGAAAATTCATTTTGAAGAAAAAAATATCATTGAATGTGTGTTTTAGGTGTAAAAAGATTTTTTTTAAAACTTTTAGGATCTTTCTAAATTTATTAGTAGCATTAAAAAGTGCATTGACTTAAATTTCATAGATCTTGATACGTTTTTTTACAAATTCTGACTCATAAAAAGTTTTCTAAAGGCTTATTATCATTTATTTCCTTTTATATGTATATCAGTCGTCCGGAGAGAAATGCGGGTTCCTAGGAAAATATTTTAACTCAATTCTAAAGGCATACTGGTATTTAAAGTTATTTTCAAATATCAACTACAATTTTTCATTGATTTCAGATTCAAAAATTAAAAAAAAAATTAAGTAAAGAATTATTAATAATAACATTTTTTGAAGCAATTCAATTATTTTCGGAAATTTTATTAAAATTCTTGGTAAGAATTCAATTATTTTCAAAAATTTTGATAACATTCTTTAAAACAAGTCAATTATTTTCAATAAATTTTTAATTAAATTTCTTGAAAGAATTGAATTATTTTTAATAGAATTTTAATCAAATTTAACGAGAGAATTCAATTATTTTCAAAAATTTTGATAAAATTCTTTACAAAAAGTTAATTATTTTCAATAAATTTTTATTAAAATTTCCTGAAAGAATTGAATTATTTTTAATAGAATTTTAATGAAATTCATCGAAAGAATTCAATTATTTTTAAAAAATTTGATAAAATTCTTTAGAAGAAGTCAATTATTTTCAATACATTTTTATTTAAATTTCTTGAAAGAATTGAATAATTTTTAAAATTTTCAATAATAAAATTCCTTAGCAAGAATTGAATTTCTTAGAGGAATTTTAAAACTAATGAAAATAATTCGATTCTTGTGACAAATTTTATTAACATTTAAAAAAATAATTCAATTCTTTCGTTAAATTTTATTAAAAGGAATTTAATTAAAGATTAAAAATTAAAAATTATTGAATTCTTCTAAAGAATTTTATCAACATTTTTCAAAATAATTGAATTGCTTTAAGCAATTTTATGAAAATATTGAAAATAATCAAAATTCATTAGGAAATTTTAATATAATTCTTTGAAAGAATTCAATTATTTTTCAAAATTTTGATGAAATTTGTCACACGAATTGAATTATTTACATAAGTTTTAAAAATTCTCCTGAGGAATTCAATTATTTTCATTGCAATTTTAATAAAACTTCTTGATAGAATTTTAATTTTCCTCGAAACGATATAATTATTTTCAACAATTTTAATAAAATTCTTGTCAAGAATTTAATTATTATTTTTATAAAAATAATACAATTCTTCGAAGGAATTTAATTATTTTAAATAAAATTTCTTGACGAAATTTAAAAAATTGATCTGAGATTTAAAGAATCTTTGACGAAAATTTAAAAATTACTTATTGTTTATTGTTTTCAAAAATTTGAATAAAATATTTCACGAATCACGAATGAATTTAATTATTTTAAAAAATGTGGAATACAATTTTTCGAAACAATTAAATTATCTTTATAAATAGTAGAATTCTTAACAATAATTAAATTATTTTTATAAAGAGTAAAATTCAGGGTTCCTACAGAGATTAAATAAGTAAAGAATTTTCCAAGAGCACAAAAATAATGAAGCTAAATCCCACAAAAGAGAGGAAAAAATGTTGAATTTTAAGAAATTCGGATTTTTGAATTTTTGATAATTTTAGATAATTTTAGATTTTTTACCAAAGAGTCGAGACAATTTAATAAGTAAAGTATTTTCTAAAAGCACAAAAATAATTAAGCTAAATCCCATAAAAGAGAGGAAAAAATGTTGAATTTTAAGAAATTCGGATTTTTGAATTTTTGATAATTTTAGATAATTTTAGATTTTTTACCAACGAGTCGAGACAATTTAATAAGTAAAGTATTTTCTAAAAGCACAAAAATAATTAAGCTAAATCCCATAAAAGAGAAGAAAAAATGTTGAATTTTAAGAAATTCGGTTTTTTGAATTTTTGATAATTTTAGATAATTTTAGATAATTTTAGATTTTTTACCAAAGAGTCGAGACAATTTAATAAGTAAAGTTTTTTCCAAGAGCACAAAAATAATGAAGTTAAATGGCATAAAAGAGAAGAAAAAATGTTGAATTTTAAGAAATTCGGATTTTTGAATTTTTGATAATTTTAGATAATTTTAGATTTTTTACCAACGAGTCGAGACAAGTTAATAAGTAAAGTATTTTCTAAAAGCACAAAAATAATTAAGCTAAATCCCATAAAAGCGAGGAAAAAATGTTGAATTTTAAGAAATTCGGATTTTTGAATTTTTGATAATTTTAGATAATTTTAGATTTTTTACCAAAGAGTCGAGACAATTTAATAAGTAAAGTATTTTCTAAAAGCACAAAAATAATTAAGCTAAATCCCATAAAAGAGAAGAAAAAATGTTGAATTTTAAGAAATTCGGATTTTTGAATTTTTGATAATTTTAGATAATTTTAGATTTTTTACCAACGAGTCGAGACAATTTAATAAGTAAAGTATTTTCTAAAAGCACAAAAATAATTAAGCTAAATCCCATAAAAGAGAAGAAAAAATGTTGAATTTTAAGAAATTCGGTTTTTTGAATTTTTGATAATTTTGAATAATTTTAGATTTTTTACCAAAGGGTGGAGACTATTTAATAAGTAAAGTATTTTCCAAGAGCACAAAAATAGTGAAGATAAATCCCATAAAAGAGAGGAAAAAATGTTGAATTTTAAGAAATTCGGATTTTTGAATTTTTGATAATTTTAGATAATTTTAGATTTTTTACCAAAGAGTCGAGACAATTTAATAAGTAAAGTTTTTTCCAAGAGCACAAAAATAGTGAAGATAAATCCCATAAAAGAGAGGAAAAAATGTTGAATTTTAAGAAATTCGGATTTTTGAATTTTAGATAATTTTAGATAATTTTAGATTTTTTACCAAAAAGTCGAGACAATTTAATAAGTAAAGTATTTTCTAAAAGCACAAAAATAATTAAGCTAAATCCCATAAAAAGAGAAAAAAATGTTGAATTTTAAGAAATTCGGATTTTTGAATTTTTGATAATTTTGAATAATTTTAGATTTTTTACCAAAGGGTGGAGACAATTTAATAAGTAAAGTATTTTCTAAAAGCACAAAAATAATTAAGCTAAATCCCATAAAAGAGAGGAAAAAATGTTGAATTTTAAGAAATTCGGATTTTTGAATTTTTGATAATTTTAAAAAAATTGAAATTTTTTACCAAAAGGTAGAGACTATTAAATAAGTAAAGTGTTTTTGAAGAGCACAAAAATAATGAAGCTAAATCCCATAAAAGAGAGGAAAAAATGTTGAATTTTAAGAAATTCGGATTTTTGAATTTTTGATAATTTTGAATAATTTTAGATTTTTTACCAAAGGGTGGAGACTATTTAATAAGTAAAGTTTTTTCCAAGAGCACAAAAATAGTGAAGATAAATCCCATAAAAGAGAGGAAAAAATGTTGAATTTTAAGAAATTCGGATTTTTGAATTTTTGATAATTTTAGATAATTTTAGATTTTTTACCAACGAGTCGAGACAAGTTAATAAGTAAAGTATTTTCTAAAAGCACAAAAATAATTAAACTAAATCCTATAAAAGCGAGGAAAAAATGTTGAATTTTAAGAAATTCGGATTTTTGAATTTTTGATAATTTTAGATAATTTTAGATTTTTTACCAAAGAGTCGAGACAATTTAATAAGTAAAGTATTTTCTAAAAGCACAAAAATAATTAAGCTAAATCCCATAAAAGAGAAGAAAAAATGTTGAATTTTAAGAAATTCGGATTTTTGAATTTTTGATAATTTTAGATAATTTTAGATTTTTTACCAACGAGTCGAGACAATTTAATAAGTAAAGTTTTTTCTAAAAGCACAAAAATAATTAAGCTAAATCCCATAAAAGAGAAGAAAAAATGTTGAATTTTAAGAAATTCGGTTTTTTGAATTTTTGATAATTTTGAATAATTTTAGATTTTTTACCAAAGGGTGGAGACTATTTAATAAGTAAAGTATTTTCCAAGAGCACAAAAATAGTGAAGATAAATCCCATAAAAGAGAGGAAAAAATGTTGAATTTTAAGAAATTCGGATTTTTGAATTTTTGATAATTTTAGATAATTTTAGATTTTTTACCAAAGAGTCGAGACAATTTAATAAGTAAAGTATTTTCCAAGAGCACAAAAATAGTGAAGATAAATCCCATAAAAGAGAGGAAAAAATGTTGAATTTTAAGAAATTCGGATTTTTGATTTTTTGATAATTTTCGATAATTTCAGATTTTTTACTAAAGGGTGGTAACTATTAATTAAGTGAAATATTTTTGAAGAGCACAAAAATAATGAAGCTAAATACTATCAAAGAGAGGAAAAAATATTGAATTTTAAAAAAATCGGTTTTTCGAATTTTTGATAAATTTTGATAATTTTAGATTTTTTACCAAAGGATGGAGACTATTAAATAAGTAAAGTGTTTTTAAAGAGCCCAAAAATAATGAAATTAGATTTAAAATCCACTGGAATTTTGTAAAAATTTGACCTGGAAATC